CCAGATTCTGTACTGATCTCTCAGGATTCAGCATAAAGCTTATGAATTAATTATGAATGATGAATGAATGATGAATAATTGGACAATGAACTGCAATGTGCACATGGAGCAGAGCTGATCCCAGGGAGAGACCCCGTGACCATCGTGCATTTTGGGGCCATTTGGGTTCATCTTGGGTTCATTTTGGGACCATTTGGGTTCACCTTGGGTTCATTTTGGGACCATTTGGGTTCACCTTGGGTTCATTTTGGGACCATTTGGGTTCACCTTGGGTTCATTTTGGGACCATTTGGGTTCACCTTGGGTTCATTTTGGGACCATTTGGGTTCACCTTGGGTTCATTTTGGGACCATTTGGGTTCACCTTGGGTTCATTTTGGGACCATTTGGGTTCATCTTGGGGGCAGCCCTGGCTGGGCTCTCGTGCTGCCCAAGGTGGATCCACTGAGGAGATCCTTTTCATAACTCCCTGCTTTACTCTTTAGCTCTGTCCAGCCTTCCCAATTCCTTTGGATGTTCAAGAACTTGGGAATAAAAGTCCAAGAGCATTAAAAATCCAGCTCAACATCACAAATCCAAGACACAACAGGGGCTCAGCCTGTGAGCACCCCCAGAGCCCCTCTCCTCCAAAAGAAATAATTAATTAAAGGGACAATGAACAATCCAAGACAGAACGGGGGCTCAGCCTGTGAGCACCCCCAGAGCCCCTTTCCCCAAAAAGAAATAATTAAAGGGACAATGAAAGGGATAATTAATACATCATTGGCTTTTTATAAGGGAAGACATATTCTTTCTTATAACTACAGAAACATAAGTTTATGATTTTTTTTTTTGCTTAACATCTGTGTATTGTATTTTCACACAAATCCAAGCTTCTTCCAAGGCTGTAGATGAAATCCCTCAGTGGGCTTTAAAGGTAGATGAAATCCCTCAGTGTCTGTGGCAGTTTCTGTTTGTCTGATTCTCACTCACCCCCTCTCTGCTCCCTGCTCCAGAGTGGAACAACCCCTCAGGTGGAACAATCCCTCAGGTGGGGAACAACCCCCCAGGTGGAGAGCAATCCCTCAAGGGTGGCACAACCCCTCAAGGGTGGAAGAGCCCCTCAGGGGTGGAATAATCCCTCAGGTGGAACAATTCCTCAGGTGTGGAACAATCCTTGAGGGGTGGAACAACCCCTGAGATGTGGCACAATCCCTCGGGGGTGGAACAACCCCTCAGGTGTGGCACAACTCCTCAGGTGGAGAAATCCTTGAGGGGTGCAACAAGACCTCAGGTGTGGAACAATCCCCCAGGCGTGGCACAACCCCTCAGGTGGCACAATCTCTCAGGGGTGGAATAACCCCTCAGGGGTGGAATAATCCCTCAGGTGTGGCACAACCCCTCAGGGGTGGAATAACCCCTCAGGGATGGAATAATCCCTCAGGTGTGGCACAGCCCCTCAGGTGTGGCACAGCCCCTCATGGGTGGCACAGCCCCTCAGGTGTGGAACAATCCCCCAGGTGTAGCACAGCCCCTCATGGGTGCCACAGCCCCTCAGGTGTGGAACAATCCCCCAGGTGTAGCACAGAACCCCCCAGGTGGAGAGCAATCCCTCAAGGGTGGCACAACCCCTCAAGGGTGGAAGAGCCCCTCAGGGGTGGAATAATCCCTCAGGTGGAACAATTCCTCAGGTGTGGAACAATCCTTGAGGGGTGGAACAACCCCTGAGATGTGGCACAATCCCTCGGGGGTGGAACAACCCCTCAGGTGGAGAAATCCTTGAGGGGTGCAACAAGACCTCAGGTGTGGAACAATCCCCCAGGCGTGGCACAACCCCTCAGGTGGCACAATCTCTCAGGGGTGGAATAACCCCTCAGGGGTGGAATAATCCCTCAGGGGTGGCACAGCCCCTCAGATGTAGCACAATCCCCCAGGGGTGGCACAGCCCCTCATGGGTGGCACAGCCCCTCAGGGATGGAATAATCCCTCAGGTGTGGCACAGCCCCTCAGGTGTGGCACAACCCCTCATGGGTGCCAGAGCCCCTCAGGTGTGGAACAATCCCCCAGGTGTAGCACAGCCCCTCATGGGTGCCACAGCCCCTCAGGTGTGGAACAATCCCCCAGGTGTGGCACAGCCCCTCAGGTGTGGCACAGCCCCTCAGGTGTGGCACAGCCCCTCAGGAGTGGAATAATCCCTCAGGTGTGGCACAACACCTCAGGTGTGGCACAATCCCCCAGGGGTGGCACAGCCCCTCAGGTGTAGCACAGCCCCCCACGGGTGGCACAATCCCCCAGGTGTGGCACAACCCCTCAGATATAGCACAATCCCCCAGGTGTGGCACAGCCCCTCAGGTGTGGAATAATCCCTCAGGTGTGGCACAGCCCCTCAGGTGTGGAATAATCCCTCAGGTGTGGCACAGCCCCTCAGGTGTGGAATAATCCCTCAGGTGTGGCACAGCCCCTCAGGTGTGGAATAATCCCTCAGGTGTGGCACAGCCCCTCATGGGTGCCACAGCTCCTCAGGTGCCACAGCCCCTCAGGTGTAGCACAGCCCCCCATGGGTGGCACAACCCCTCAGATATAGCACAATCCCCCAGGTGCCACAACCCCTCAGGTGTGGCATAGCCCCTCAGGTGTGGCACAGCCCCTCATGGGTAGCACAACCCCCCAGGTGTGGCACAGCCCCCCAGGTGTGGCACAGCCCCCCAGGTGTGCCACAGCCCCTCCATCCCTCACATCCAGGCGGGATCTCCGGCCACCCCTTCCTGCCCTTCCCTCTCGTTCCACGGAGCACATCCCTCTCCCCGCTCCCAGCCCCTCTATTCCCCCCACACCCCCCGAGCCCTCCCGGCCCGTCCCCTCACGCACGGGACGCGTCCAGCTCCCGCGCCGCCTTGGCCGCGCGCTCCAGGCCCGTGGGGTCGAAGTTGCTCCATTTGTCCTTGGGCGTCTGACGGTCCCCGGCTCCGCCGCCACCCCCACCAGCAGCGGGGCCGGGCGGCAGGGAGAGGCCGGCACCGCTGCCCGGGGATGCCGCATCCCCGCCGCCGCCCGGGGCAGCCCCGCGGTTCAGCCCGAACAGCCACGACATGAGGGCGGCGGCGGCGGCTGCACGCGGGGGACGCGCCGCTGCCAGCGCGCATGCGCCGCATGCGGGCGGGCCTCCCATTGGCTCGCCGGAGAGCCGCTCCGCGCTCTGATTGGCGGAAAGGAGCAGCGTGTGGGGTTTGATTGGTTGGAAGAGGAGGGAAGGGAGGGAGAGAAGTGTGCGGGACGGAGAGCCGGGAGGGACAAATGGGGCGGGCGGCGCTTCCGCATAGCAACGGGAGTGAGGGGCGTTGCTAAGGGCCGCGAGGCGGCGCGGCCTTGGGTTATCCCGGGTTTAACTTGGGTTATCCCGGGTTAACTTGCGTTATCCCGGGTTTAACTTGGGTTATCCCGGGTTTAACTTGGGTTATCCCGGGTTAACTTGCATTATCCCCGCATGCGCCGCATGCGGGCGGGCCTCCCATTGGCTCGCCGGAGAGCCGCTCCGCGCTCTGATTGGCGGAAAGGAGCAGCGTGTGGGGTTTGATTGGTTGGAAGAGGAGGGAAGGGAGGGAGAGAAGTGTGCGGGACGGAGAGCCGGGAGGGACAAATGGGGCGGGCGGCGCTTCCGCATAGCAACGGGAGTGAGGGGCGTTGCTAAGGGCCGCGAGGCGGCGCGGCCTTGGGTTATCCCGGGTTTAACTTGGGTTATCCCGGGTTAACTTGCGTTATCCCGGGTTTAACTTGGGTTATCCCGGGTTTAACTTGGGTTATCCCGGGTTAACTTGCGTTATCCCGGGTTTAACTTGGGTTATCCCGGGTTTAACTTGGGTTATCCCGGGTTAACTTGCATTATCCCGGGTTTAACTTGGGTTATCCCAGGTTTCTCTTGGGTTATCCCGGGTTTCCCTGAAAATCGGCTCCAGACTGGTGTTATCCCGCATTTCCCTTAGGGTTATCCCGGGTTTCCCTGGAAATCAGCCCCAGCCTGGCGTTATTCCGGATTTCCTCCCAAATCCTCTCCTTGGAATGGCAGAGAGGATGGGAAAGCAGAAAAGGAGAAACCTGTGGCTGTGCTTATGTGGGATAAAGAGCAGGATTTCCCTGGAAATCAGTTCCTAATCCAATGTTTTGAAATGGGAAAGATGAGACAGGAGCCTCCTGAAAAGGGGAGCACAGGCAACCCCAGTGCTGTGATTATCTGGGATAAAGAGTGAGGATATTCCATGGAAATCAGCTCCCAGTCCATCATTTCTGAATGGGAAGGATGAGAGGAAATGGGAGTACAGCAAAATCAGGAACATGTGGAATTCTGCAGCCTGCAGTGGTGTAAAATGTAGAACACAGCTGGAGCATGCCCAGCCCTCAGCAGCAGGCTGGGGACACCTTTCAGATCTTTTATTTTTTTCTCTAAATGTTCATTTTTCTTCTCAAATTCACACTTATATCCATGGAAACACAGAATATCCTGAACTGGAAGGAATCCACAAGGATCAGAGTCCAGGACACCCCAGGACACCTTTCAGATCTTTTATTTTTTTCTCTAAATGTTCATTTTTCTTCTCAAATTCACACTTATATCCATGGAAACAGAATATCCTGAGCTGGAAGGGATCCACAAGGATCAGAGTCCAGGACATCCCAACAATCCCACCCTGTGCGTGAGCACAAATATTTACCAGATCTGCCAAGATTTCAGGGTAAAACAATCCTTTTGGAACTGAGGCTTTATCAGGACCAATATATTTCTATTTTTTACATTTCCCTCACATTTTTTGGGGGAAGGGGGAAAAGTTTGGAGTAAACCAGGCTATTCAGGCACGGGTAGAACATGCACTTCATTTAAAATTATGATTGAACAGGGTGATCTCAGCAGTTTTTCCCAACTTTTATGATTCTGTGAATGCCAGCTTTTCAACCCCCGGAACAAAACCCACAATTCCCCCCAAAAAAACCCCACAGATTTGCCAGCAAGCACAAAGGAACCATTCAGTAGCTCTTGTATTTATATTTAATTGTCTTCAGAAGGGTGTGTTACAACTTGAGGGGGGGATGAAAATTAATGCATTAATAAACTATGCAGGGAGTTGTGCAAACTTAATTTCTGTCCTACAGCGAGAAGAAACAAAATCGTTTTATTGCATGAGCAGTTCCAGGGGCTTTGTCATCCTTTCAGCACTGAGATTAATCAGTGACAAACACACATTCCAGAGGAGGACACAAATCACGTGAAAAATCTCTTTATAGAGTTAATGAATGACTCACCTCCCTCCTCTCCTGAGCAAGGCAGCCCAAGGAAAAATGCTCCAGAAAGGTGGAGATGAAGGATTCAGCTCTCAGGAGACAAAGTTAGGAATAAAAGTTCCTCTCAGCTCCAAAAGGAGCTGGTTGAAGCTTTTTAGGAAGGGTTTGTGGGGCTGCATGGGGCTCCCCACAAACAGCACTGCTTCAAAACCAAGTTCTACACGGAGGGCAAATAAGCAATAAATTTAAAATAGAGCAGGAGTTACTGAGGGAGGGTGTTCCCACTGATGCTGGGGTTTAGCAGAGAAATATCTACATTTCTTTACAACCCTAAGCCCTGAACTTTGAAACCATTTGCTTGGTCACTAGGTATTTATAATTAATTTTTTTTTTTTTCTCAGCTCGCCTTTCCAGAGTGGCTTAGAGACAGCGAGTTCAAGCTTAGGGGCAAAGGGAAATAATCAGATTTACTCTTCTGCCTTAAAAACATTGATTTTTAAGTGTAGCTCAAGCTTAGCACTGGGTGGAAGCCCAAGACAAGACACCAGAGATGTGCTGTGTGTGTTCAGAGCTCAGAGGAATGACAGTGCTGGAGACTTATTGCCTGTAATTAGTCACAGAACAGGCTAATTAATCCCCACGAGGAGAGCAGCACTCCCGTTTGGTGAAGAGGGTTTGCAGGAATGCCAGAGCAATGATCCAGGCAGGAGCACAGAAACAAAAATAAGTGCTTTAGGTGGTTTTGTCTGGCTTTTCTGGGCTCTCAGCTGCTCCTGGAGGGAAGCACACTCCCAGGATTTTGGGTTTCCTGCTCTCTCATTCCTTCCAGGCTCCCTGGAGGGAATGGATTGGACTCAGGAGTGGATTTGGCCAGGTGGAACCTCTCTCTGAGATGAACAGCCGAGTCCTGGCTGTGCTCCTGAGCTGCAAAAGGAATCCTGGATCAACCTTGAGCAAACAGAGAATGGGCAGCAAGCAAGCAATGGTGAGGCTCCACCACTCCGCCTCCGTTTGTCACTCGCGTTGCTACGACATGGGGACACATTTGGCATCTTTTAGTCACACTGGCTGCTCCATCCAGCCAGGCCAAGCCTTTAAACCCTGGCAGAGCTTGGGCTGGACAAGCAGGACACCTCCAGGGACAGCACAGCCTGGGAGATGAGCTTCTTCCTCCCCTGGTTTCTCCTTGTTTTTGTCCAAATCTTTGTCCGTTCAAGACCTTTGCTCTGCTGGGAGTCAGCTCACTGCAGCCTGTCACGTTCTCTGTGCTGGTATCCTTGGGCCTCTGTGGCTGGAAGGACACAAGGAATAAAAATTTCAGAACATAAGGAATAAAAATTTCAGAATATAAGGGGGAAAAAATGTCAGAATAAAAGGAATAAAAATGTCAGAATAAAAGGAATAAAAATGTCAGCTTTAGCCAGCCATTCTCCACGTCTGTCCCAGATCTCACCTTTTAGTTTTATGCATTAAATGCATAAATAAATGTTAATGAATAAATTTATTTTCTTATTTAATGTTTGCATAGCATTAATTATTTTATTAATTCTTAATTTTTAATTAATTAATAGTTATCAATTATTAATTAATAAAGAACATTAATGTAAATGGCTTTAATTGTTATCTGTCCCCTGCCAAGTGAAGGGCAACCAAGGCTGGTTGATTTTTCAAATGATTTTTCAAAACCAAATGATTTTTCAAGAGCACTTTCAGCAGTGTTCCCACCCCAGTTATCCCAAAGTGGGATCTTCTTCCTCCTGACTGCAAGAAACTCCACTAGGAGGAGTCTTACTCCTAAAAACGGGGGGAAAAGCCCAATTTTGGTGAAACAAGAGCGGTGATGAGCACAGAATATCCCAGCCCTCTGTGGTTTTGGAATGCATGAAACAGAAACCCCTCAGAGAGAGAAAGGAATGCAGGATTTGAATTTAGAGAAACTGAAATCTATTAAGCCACACAGCAGGAGTGTAAGTTTTCATTTTAAATAAGTAGAAATATATTTTAGGTCCCTTAAGAGAGTAAAAAGCCATAAAGCCTGAAGTTCAGTAGTGCTCCCTTTCACAAAATTGACTTGGCTCCAGACATAACGAAATTGCTTACATTTCTAGATAGAACAAATAGAAATATTTGTGTAAATTTTGTGTAAGAACTGACACTACTTTCCCACATTGGAATTAAGCTCAGACAGGTGCAAGAAAAATGCTTTAGAATTGAATTTTTAGCTGATTGGGTGATTTATGAATAAAATCCCCCTGTACTGGGGTGCAAAAGAAGTGGTAGTGGCTTCTGCTTGGAATATTGGGACTCTGCTGATGCCTCAAGCATCACTCCAAATATTTCCGAGAAGCTGCTGCTCAGGTTGAAGTGTGTTTTCCTCTCTCCATCTCCCAGATTTCTCCTCCTAATCCCAAGCTGCTGCTTGGTCCTAATGCCCAGCCCTTGATGTGCCCTGCTGTTTATGAGCAGACAATATTCTTTAACTCTGCCCAGCCTCTGTTCCAGCTCAGCCTACACAAAACATCAATGCCAGAAAGCTTTCAGCCTGGACTTCAATCCTCTGCATTCTTCGCCTTTGGGGCTGATGTAATCCTGCCATAAACAACTGATGTATTCATGCAGTAAACAACTGATGTATTCATGCAGTAAACAACTTTACAACCACCAATCCTGTCTCTCTGAAGAGCCCAAACCCTCTCCTAAGTGCAAGGACGCCCTGAGCTCACCTGGCTGCCGGAGCACGGTGCGGCAGAGCCTCTTGCCAGGCTGGTTGCTGTACACGGGCTGCACACACACCCTGCCCCTGCTGCCCGAGGGCAGGTCACTGAGCAGCACGCTGTGCACCTGGGAAACACGGTGGGGGAGAAAGAATTTTGGTAAATTTTAGTGAGGGATACAATAAGAGAGAGAAAAAACGTCCGGCGCTGGGGCGCTCCTGGCCAAGGGGCAAAGAACAGCCTGGTGTATACAGGGTGTTATCACCCTCCTGTGGAAATGGAAAAAGGTTAATAAAGGACAAAGGAGACAAAAAGCATAGAGCAAAAAATGGGAAAAGTTTAATAAAGGACAATAAGAGACAAGGAGCATAGAGCAAAAATGGGAAAAGCTTAGTAAAGGACAAAGGAAACAAAAAGCATAGAGCAAAAAATGGAAAAAGTTTAATAAAGGACAAAGGAGACAAAAAGCATAGAGCAAAAATGGAAAAAGTTTAATAAAGGACAATAGGAGACAAAAAGCATAGAGCAAAAAATGCAAAAAGTTTAATAAAGGACAAAGGAGACAAGGAGCACAGAGCAAAAATGGAAAAATTTTAATAAAGAACAATAGGAGACAAAAAACATAGAGCAAAAATGGGAAAAGGTTAGTAAAGACAAAGGAGACAAAAAGCATAGAGCAAAAATGGAAAAAGTTTAATAAAGGACAATAGGAGACAAGGAGCATAGAACACAAATGGAAAAAGTTTAATAAAGGACAATAGGAGACAAAAAGCATAGAGCAAAAAATGCAAAAAGTTTAATAAAGGACAAAGGAGACAAGGAGCACAGAGCAAAAATGGAAAAATTTTAATAAAGAACAATAGGAGACAAAAAGCATAGAGCAAAAATGGAAAAAGTTTAATAAAGAACAATAGGAGACAAAAAGCATAGAGCAAAAAATGCAAAATGTTTAATAAAGGACAATAGAAGACAAGGAGCACAGAGCAAAGGTTATTGGGTCACACTGTTCTCTTCAGGGATATCCCTTAAATACCTTTTAATTACATCAGCCTGTTGCATATTCATAAACAATTCTGCATATTAAACTGTTCCCCAAACTAATTTACATATTCCAAGAACTGTTTAGCACGGCTCCTCCTCTGTTCCACCTTTTTAGAGGATCCGCATTCCTTGGGTGTGGTTTTGGTCCTTTTTTATCCCCTCCAGGTTTTTTGGGCCCTGGCCCACGCTGCCTTTAGACCTGAGTGCTGATGGTTGGCAGATCTGCACACGTGTCCCCATCCTGTGTTGGCAGATCTGCACACGTGTCCTCATCCTGTGTTGGCAGATCTGCACACGTGTCCTCATCCTGTGCTCATCGGGTGTTATCCCACCCCAGCAGGCATTTTAATTGATATAATTTATATAAATATAAATATATATGGATATGGGTATAAATATCAATATATATGAATATAAATATAAATATAATTATAAATAAATATGAATACGGGTATAAATAAATACAAATATCAACATCAACATATCTTTACGACACCACACATATAAAATCCATGTTACCATTTGCAGAAACCCCCCATTACAACACGTATCGCTCCCTGCTCCCCTCTCCACGCACCTGCGGGGACACGCTGAACGCGGAGGAGGCGCCGCTCTGCCGCCGGCAGCGCACCCGGTAACCGAGCACGGCCCCGTCCGCCGAGTCCCACGAGGCTCGCAGGCTGCCGGCACCCGCGGCCTCGAAGCGCAGGTGCCTCACCCTGGAGCCCTCTGCGGGGAGAAAGCCGTGAGAGGCAGGGCATGGTGCCCCAGGGATCCCTGCTCCCCCGGGGGCTGGCCTTTGGTGAGAGGGGAAATCGCCCTGCTTCTCCTGCTGGAGGAGATGAGGGGACACAGGCTCAGGGTGCACCAAGGGAAATACGGGTTGGATATTGGGGATGGGTGCCGGGGTTTAGCTGAGGGGTTGGGGCTGGGTTGGATTCCATGGTCTTGAAGGTCTCTCCTAACCTGGGGAATCTGTGAATTCTGTGAAAAAGACCTTTGAGATCCACACAAATTGCAGGAAAATCAGGCTCTTAGAACCACTCTTCCAGCACTGCAGAGTGCCAAAGCCTTCCAGCAAAAGGAGAAAAGGAGACTCAGGGGTGCCCTCATCACTCTCTACACTCACTGAAAGGTGGCTGTGGCCAGCTGGGGTTGGGCTCTTTCTCCAGGAACTGACAGAATCAGAGGACACAGCCTTAAGCTGTGCCAAGGGAAATGCTGGCTGGATATTGGGGAAAAGTTTTTTATGGAAAGGGTGATGAAGTTCTGGAATGGCTGCCCAGGGAGGTGGTGCAGTCACCATCCCTGGGTGTGTTTAACAAAGCCTGGATGTGGCTGAGGTGTTGGGGTTGGGTTGGACTTCAGCCAAACCCTGTGGGTGCCAGGGTTTAGCTGAGGTGTTGGGGCTGGGTTGGACTTCATGGTCTTAAAGGTCTCTTCCAGCCTGGGGATTCTGTGAATTCTGAGCTCAGACTAATTAGTCCTTAACTTTGCTCTGGTAACAGCATAAAATTCTTCATTTCTCTGGCAGTCATCTCCCACACCCTCAGCTCTGTCATCCCCTGAGCTCCTCACTCCTGAGTCCTGATAAGAGCCAGACTTTGCCTCCTGCAATATCCTCACAGTCCCTTCTCCTGCAATATCCTCACGGCTCCTTCTCCTGCAATATCCTCACAGGTCCTTCTCCTGCAATATCCTCACGGCTCCTTCTCCTGCAATATTCTCACAGGTCCTTCTCCTGCAATATCCTCACGGGTCCTTCTCCACAGAGCACAAGCTTCTGCTCATTAACTTCATCAACTCCTACCCAAGGAACAGGCACAGAGGAGTCAGGAAAGGCACTTTTCTTCCTTCTTTAGGGAGATTCTTGGATCTGCAGGGGAGCCAGCCCCATTAACAGCTGGCACTGTGTGTGTGACTCCCTTCCAGCCCTGACACATCTGCTACACATCCAGAGCTGCTCATGCAGCTCCCCCACCCCATGGGCTGCATTCTGAATAATAAAATACTGGATCCTGAATAATAAAAATCCACCCAGGGGCTGGATTCTGGGTCCTCTGGCCTCACCCCGAGGCGGGTGCCCCTCTGGGGACACTCCTTGTGCTGCCACTTGCCCTCCTCACCTTCCTGGGTGCAGGCCTTGGCTGACAGGGATTTCTCCTTCCCAGATCTGTAGATGGCAGTGACTGTCACCAGGTAGGTGGTGTTGGGTGCCAGGTGCTCCACCAGGGTGCTGTTGTGCCTCCCATCCACCTGCAGCACCTTGGCTGAGTTCCCTGGGAGCGGCCCGTACAGGACCTGGTAGGTGGCCACGCTGTCCAGCACAGGAGCCCAGCTGACGTGGAAGCTGTGAGGTCCAGAGTCTGAGATGAGAACCTGAACTGGGCTGATTTCCTCTGGAAGCAATGGAGAGAGGTGAGAATGAGGGTTTAATGAGCATTATTGACCTGCAACATCTTGGGCTTCAAGGGTGTGGAATTCAAGTCAACCCAGCGAGGAATAGAAATCAGCCAGCAAGGAACTGAAATCAACCCAGTGGAATTAAAATCAACCAGCAAGGAATTCAAATCAAGCCAGTGGAGTTAAAAACAACCCAGTGGAATTGAAATCAACCCAGCAAGGAATTCAAATCAAAGGGTTTAGCTGAGGTGTTGGGGCTGGGTTGGACTTCATGGTCTTAAAGGTCTCTTCCAGAAGCCAGTGGAGTTAAAAACAACCCAGTGGAATTGAAATCAACCCAGAAAGGAATTGAAATCAACCAGCAAGGAATTGAAATCAACCCAGCAAGGAATTCATATCAAAACAGCAAGGAATTCATATCAACCCAGTGGAATTCAAATCAACCTAGTGGAATTAAAATCAACGCAGCAAGGAGTTAAAATCAACCCAGTGGAATTGAAATCAACCAGCAAGGAACTGAAATTAACCCAGTGGAATTGAAATCAACCAACAAGGAATTGAAATTAACCCAGTGGAATTGAAATTAACCCAGTGGAACTGAAATCAACCCAGCAAGCAGATGTTGATACTCATGACACAGCTCAGCCCAAAGGGTTTCTCAGCCTTTCAGCCAGAACTGTTCTTGCATGCAGAAAATTAATATTGTGTACAGGTCCACCCTGACATTGCCACCCCAGCCCAGTTTTTCAGTTTGCCCCTTTCTGCAGGCTGCCCCCCAATAAAATCTGAGTTATTTCTGCACAGAGAGGCTGATCCTGCTCCGAGTTCTTCCCCTCTCAATCCCAGATTCCCTTAGGTCATTCCAGCATCCTCTATCTTAACTTTGCCCGGGTACCAGCATAAAATCCTTCATTTCTCTGGCAGTCACCTCCCACACCCTCAGCTCTGCCATCCCCTGAGCTCCTCATTCCCGAGTCCTGGTAAGAGCCAGACTTTTCCTTCTACAATATCCTCACGGGCCCTTGTCCTGCAATATCCTCATGGTCCTTCTCCTGCAATATCCTCACAGGTCCTTCTCCTGCAATATCCTCACGGGCCCTTCTCCTGCAATATCCTCACGGGCCCTTCTCCTGCAATATCCTCACAGGTCCTTCTCCTGCAACATCCTCACGGGCCCTTCTCCTGCAATATCCTCACGGGTCCTTCTCCTGCAATATCCTCACAGGCCCTTCTCCTGCAATGTCCTCATGGTCCTTCTTCTACAATATCCTCACAGGTCCTTCTCCTGCAATATCCTCACAGGTCCTTCTCCTGCAATATCCTCACGGGTCCTTCTCCTGCAATATCCTCACAGGCCCTTCTCCTGCAATATCCTCACGGGCTGTTCTCCTGCAATATCCTCACAGATCCTTCTCCTGCAATATCCTCACTGGTCCTTCTTTTACAATATCCTCACAGGTCCTTCTCCTGCAATATCCTCACGGGGCCTTCTCCTGCAATATCCTCACGGGGCCTTCTCCTGCAATATCCTCACGGGGCCTTCTCCTGCAATATCCTCACGGGGCCTTCTCCTGCAATATCCTCACGGGGCCTTCTCCTGCAATATCCTCACGGGGCCTTCTCCTGCAATATCCTCACGGGGCCTTCTCCTGCAATATCCTCACGGGGCCTTCTCCTGCAATATCCTCACGGGGCCTTCTCCTGCAATATCCTCACGGGGCCTTCTCCTGCAATATCCTCACGGGGCCTTCTCCTGCAATATCCTCAGGGGCTCTTCTCCACAGAGCACAAGGTGGGAGCCCCAGGTGGGACACAGGGATGCTGTCGCTGTCCCCAAGGCCCAAGCCATGCCCTTCGTACCTGGCAGAGTGGTGACCCTGGTCCTTTGGGCAGGGAAGTAGTGCACGTTGGACTCGGGGATCAGAGCCACCTCGTAGGTGGTTCCTGGTGCCAGGTTGGTGAGCACGAGGCTGCTGAGGGCCCCCGACACCTGCAGTGTCCTGGTCCCCGCGGGGTCCCCGCTGGGGGTGTACTGCAGGCTGTAGAAGCCGCTGTCCTGGGACAGCAGCTGGGGCCACACCAGGCGGAAGCTGCTGGAGGTGACGTCGGTGGCGTGGAGCCGGTTGGCTTGGATGACATCTGGAAGAGGGACAGGGACAGAAATCAGTGCTGGCATCAACGACCACAGCGCGGAGCAGGCCCAGCCCTTCTGGAGCAGGGGTGCAGCTGGCAGCACCCCTGAAGTCACCGAGGTGTGCTGTTGGATTAAGGTTTTTTTTTTTACTCAGAGATGGAGTGCTCAGTTGAGAGGTGATTTAAAAGCTTTTATTTTTTAGGGTTTTTTTTAATTTTATTTTATTTTATTTTATATATTTTTTATTATTATTTTTTAGTTTAATGTGAAGGATGAGACAATACAGATGTTATAATTTACATTAGCACAATCAGAAGCCAACTATTTCTTAATTATAATACATTATAAGTGTTCCTGAGCCTATCAGCTTTTATAACACTATGCTGTAAATGCCTTAAAGCTAATTATCTAAAATTACCTTTAATGAGTCTTTTTACAATGTATCTTTCACAGTTTTATTTCCCTGAAGCACCTGGTCTAGAGCTCTAATCTAGATCTAGAGATCTAGTCTAGATCTAGAGATTTAGAGATCTGGTCTAGATCTCCAACCTAGCGTAGAGAGTGAATTCTCTACAAATTCATTTCCCCGTGGAAATTCCCAACCAGTGAATCCAAATCAACAAATCCCTGCACAGGAAGGAGCCCAGAGCATGAAGAGCTCCATTTCTCCCTTATTTCTCCCTTATTTCTCCCTTATTTCTCCCTTATTTCTCCATTTCTCCCTGCTCTGGGCAGTGCCCAGGAGGAAAGGGCAGCACGTGGGCAGTGCCAGCCCTGCTGAGCCAGCTGGACTCAGCCCCTGCAGGGCTCACAGAGCTCCCTTGTTCGGTGACATTCAACACTCAGAGCCCTCTTGTGCCACCTCACCTCTCCCTGGCCCTGAGTCACACGATTACAGAATCACAGAATTCACAGAATTCCAGAATTACTGGGTTGGGAGAGACCTTCAAGATCACGGAGTCCAACCCAGCCCCAACCCCTCAGCTAAACACTGGCAGCCAGTGCCACATCCAGGGGTGGTGACTCCAGCACCTCCCCGGTTCCTGGGAATTCCCAAAATTCCCCCAAATTCTCAGAATCCCCAGGCTGGAAGAGACCTTCAAGACCATGGAGTCCAACTCAGCCCAACTCAACCCTGGCAGCCAGTGCCACATCCAGGCTTTGTTAAACCCACCCAGGGATGGTGGCTCCAGCACCTCCCCAGTTCCTGGGAATTCCCAGAATTCCCCCAAATTCACAGAATTCTCCCAAATTCTCAGAATCCCCAGGCTGGAAGATGCCTTCAAGACCATGGAATCCAACCCAGCCCCAACACCTCAGCTAAACCCTGGCCCCCAGTGCCACATCCAGGCTTTGTTGAACACACCCAGGGATGGTGGCTGCTTCTCTTCGAGGCTCCAGACCACAAATGCCAGGCACAAATCCCTCTGGTGGTGCTGGGCAGCTCCCCCAGCCCCTTGACCCTTCTGACATGCCCATTTTGGGCAGAATTCCGGTGTTTTCTGACCTTCCAGAGAGACACAAACACACAGGACTTTGTTTCTAACTCCTGGGAAGTGACATGGAGATCTCTTCTGTTTTTAAAGGATTTCTAAGAGCACCCTAAGTGCTCTTAGAAAGTGCCCCTAAAACTCTTGAAGTGCCCCTAAATCCTTATAAAAGAACCTTCCAGCTCATGCTCAGGCACTCACAGAGCACTCCAGGCAGCCCTCACTGTCCCCCCATTGCACAGGGGTGAAGGGAGGCACAGAATTCCTCCCAAAGCTGCAAGCTGGGGCTGCTTTTCCCTCCCAGACTCGTCCTTTAGCTGGGAGAGGATCAGCTCTCCTCCTCCGAGCTGCTCCGAGCCCTGCCAACTCCTCTGTACCAAATAAAACAGCCTCAGTTTTTCCTCTGAGCTGTTCCCTGGCTCTCCCAGGCAGGCAGGCAGGAACATTTCCCTGCTCTGTGCCCATCCCATCCCATCCCATCCCAGCAGCCCTCCACCCACTCACGGCTCCTGGGGCACTGCACCCTTTTTGGGAGCCCCACAAACCTTCCACGAAGGAACAGGGAGCACAGGAAAGGTCTCAGCGCTGCCAAAAATCCTGCCAAAAGCTCAGGGAATGGAAAGAAGTGAGCTGGGAGGCAGGGACACTGTGGATCAAAGGGCAGGAAGCCCACAGCAAACAGCTCTGCCCCTTGTTGCCAGAGCCCTGGAAGCCTTCAGCGTATAAAAAGGGCAATAAAGCACAGAGAATAAAGAAATAAATGCCCACAGTGGTGAGAAATGGATTTATAGAGAGTTCTCAAAGGCAGACAGAAGGCTCACACAGTGCAAACCTGGAGATAAGAAATGCTGGTTTAGAAATGCCGTGGGACAGGACAGGCATTGTGGAGAGAGAAGTGGAACTAGAAACAAGTTTCAAAAGATGACCTTACAAAAAAGATTAGACACTTTGGAGAAACAGAACTATGAAAGATGCATTGTAGTAGGGCCCACGAGGGGTAATTTTAGAAGATTGGCTTTAAAACATTTACAACAGAGCGCAGCTAAATCTAATAAGCCAAAAAACATTTATAATGTACTGTAATTAAGAAATAGTTAACTCCTGATTGTAATAGCATGAATTAGAACATCTGCATTGTGTCACTCTTCACATGAGACTGAAAATAGAATAAAAGCTTTTCAAACACCTCTCAGTTGCCCCATCTCTGGGTCAGAAAAGAGCTCAATCCAACACACAATGTGTTTCCCAGCCCCTCTGTTCCCAGAGGCAAGCAGCAATCATTAATAATAATTAATAATAATTAATATCCTGTACAGGAGCCAGGCAGTGCCTGCCTGGTGACACTCAGCTGGTGACACTTTCTCTCCTCCTCCAGACACTGCCCTGCAGCCACTGGAGAGATCAGGGTCAGACCTGCAGGAATGCTGCTGGTTTCATGATGAGGGTGAGAAAAAAACAGCAGCAAGAGCAGCAAGAACAGCACAGATTTGTCCCAGATCCCAGCTGCAGCTTCTCAGACCCAGATTAGGACAGGTTCTCCTGCAGTTTCTCAGATTAGGACAGGTTCTCCTGCAGTTTCTCAGATTAGGACAGGAACTCCTTCAGTTTCTCAGCTAGAGAAGAACTCGCCCTCAGTNTGCAGTCTCAGACCCAGATTGGGACAGGTTCTCCTGCAGTTTCTCAGACTAGGACACGTTCTCCTGCAATTTCTCAGATTAGGACAGGTTCTCCTGCAGTTCCAGACCCAGATTAGGACAGGTTCTCCTGCAGTTCCAGACCCAGATTAGGACAGGATCTCCTGCGGTTTCTCACACACAGATTAGGACAGGATCTCCTACAGTTTCTCAGATTAGGACAGGTTCTCCTGCAGTTCTAGACCCAGATTGGGACAGGATCTCCTGCAGTTTCTCAGATTAGGACAGGTTCTCCTGCAGTTTCTCAGATTAGGACAGGTTCTCCTGCAGTTTCTCAGATTAGGACAGGATCTCCTGCAGTTTCTCAGATTAGGACAGGTTCTCCTGCAGTTTCTCAGAACCAGATTAACACAGGTTCTCCTGCCTGGCTAGAGAAGAACCTGTCCTAAACTGGGTCTGAGAAGCTGCAGCTGGGATTTGGGACAAATCACTTCTGGTTCTGTTGGATGTGAGTGGGGAAATGCTCTGATTCTGGGAGCGGGGATTTCCCTTCTGCATCTGCAGGGTCTGAGGTGTGCTCACCTGCTTGGATCAGTGCCAGGTGAGACCAGCAGAGCTGCAAGCCTTCCCTGCAGCAGCACTCCCCCAGGAGCTGGTTTTGGGTCAGAAATGCACTGCCCTGAGCACGTGTGGGGTGTGGGGATGCTCAGGGCTCCTGCAAAGCCTGGCTCGGGAGCTGGTGCCAAAGGCTGGAAGGAGTCAGCAGCCTGAGCTTAGCTGAGCACAGAGCAAGTGGCTGCAGGCACAGGGCTGATGTCACCTCGGAGGAATGCCTTGGTTTCACAACCAAGGGGGTCCTTCCCCAGCAGGAGAGCACCAAATGCCACAGTTTGGGCACATCTGAGATCCAGCAGAAGGAGCCTGAGCTCCTGCACAGCCTGAGAACCTTCCCTCCCCTCTGGGGAGGGCGGAGGTGCCTGCCAGGAGCCAGCTGTGCCACAGCCAGGCTGGCTGGGAGCTGCATTCTGCACAATTCCTGCATGGGCCGAGGGAAAAACAGGCAGTGAACACCCCCAGCCCCTGTCCTGCCCCCCTCCCAGAGCAGCAGCAGCAGCTCTGCAGCAACATTTCAGCTCCAACACATCTCAGGAGTGTCTCCCTGTGGAGGCTGAGGCTCCTCAGCCCACCTGAGGCTGCAGCAGCTTGGAGGAAGCCTTGGTCTGGAATTTCTGTGGAGCAGGCAGGACACAGCCCATTCCTGGAGAGGAGGTGGAAGGAGGAGAGCAGCTCTTGACAAAGCTTGTTTGTGCCTCTCCAAAAGCCTCCTCTGTTTTTTTGGTTTGTTTTTGCTTTTGTTTCTTTTTTTTTGTTTGTTTTTTGTTTTTTGTTTTTTTGGTTTTTTTTTTTTTTTTTAAACAGTAGCAGGAGATGAAGATAAGTGATAAATAAACCAGTCTGGGCCATTCCAGAGCTGGAATTAATTAATTCCTGCCTGCCAAGATGTCCCTGCCATGCCAGGAGGGGTGGTGGCTGAGGGCTGCCTCCTCCAGGCAGGCAGCATTGACTTAAGTGGCTTTATTAAGATGAAATCAGGTGATGTGGCCAAAATCTGGCACTTTGCAAGCCCTGGATCCGTGTGGGAATCTCACCTGGCATTAAAATCCCAGCCCAGGAGGTTTTAGACCTGCTGGATTCACAGAATGCTGCTCTCGGGCACAGCAGCTGTGACCTGTGCAGATTTTATCATCTCCTTTGTTCTTTTGGGGTTTAACCCCAAAGGACATGGCTCTGACACCCCAAACCTTCGTATTTTGGGGTTTAACCCCAAAGGACACGTCTGGGACTCCCCAGACCTTTGTTCTTTTGGGGTTTAACCCCAAAGGACATGGCTCTGACTCCCCAGACCTTTGTTCTTTTGGGGTTTAACACAAAAGGACACAGCTGTGACTCCCCAGACCTTTGTTCTTTTGGGGTTTAGCCCCAAAGGACCCAGCTGTGAGTCCCCAATCCTTTGTTCTTTTGGGGTTTCACCCAAAAGGACACGGCTGTGCCTCCCCTTTGTTCTTTTGGGGTTTCACCCAAAGGACATGGCTGTGCCTCCCCTTTGTTCTTTTGGGGTCTCACCCAAAAGGACACAGCTGTGACTCCCCTTTGCCCTTTTGGGGTTTCACACTGGTGCTCCCATGCCGGTGGCTCTGGCAGCAGTGTCATTCCCAGTGGCATTCCAGTGTCATTCCCAGTGGCATTCCCAGTGGCATTCCCGTGTCATAGCCAGCGCTGCAGCCCCGTGAGGAACACAGAGGTAACACTTGGCTGCTGGGGCAGGGCTGGGCTGTTCTTCCAGAGGCTGTGCTGGCCAAGGATCTGGCAGATGTGGAACACGTTAGAACAGGGGATTTATGGAACACAAACATTCCTTTCCTATAGTCTCAATGCTGACAGCAGGAACCGTCCTTAATTTTATTTTCTGAGAGAACAACTGCAGGAGTTGGAGGTCTCAGCCCTTGGTGGAGCGTTTTAGGGAGTCAGATTTATCCTAAATAAGAGTTGGAGGGAGCTGACAGGACCAAATCCTTGCCAGGGACACACACATCCCATTTCAGATGTGTTCAACACGTTTGTGTTCCTCCATCAGCTGGCACAGAGACAGAAACTTTTGAGAGAAAAATAATAAAAATCAACCTGAATGTGAAAATCAACTCAGGGGGGCTCAGGCACTTTGTGTCCACAATCTTGCTGAGGTGAAATCACTCCTGTTTGGGAAACCTTTGGTTAACAGCCTGTGCAGGTGGGGGCATTTTCTGCCTGGGGTGTGCAGATGCCTGACCTGCATGACTCATTTCAAAGACTTGTGGGGTTTTAAGGAATTCAGATATTTTGCTGCCTGAGTTCCTCATTCCCAGCTGAACTCCTCACAAGCACAACTTCAATTCACTGGAGGGAATCTGTCCCACTCTCTCAAATATTCCAAGGGCAAATATTTGTCCCAGACCTCCCAGAAGCCTTGGTTTATATTTGGACCTGTGGCACGGTGGGCAAACCCCACAATTTGCCAGGGCAGGGCTTTGGGGTCAGGATGAGTGTGGGATTTGGGGGATTCTCCCACTGCCCACCCCACAGAACCAACCACAAACCCACCTGTGGAGCCCCCCGAATCCTCCCCCCTCAGGGAAACCCCCGGGGTACAGCCTTGGAAAAATTTACTGTAGAGTTTTCCCCACTTAGGCTGAAAAAAAGACTTCCCCAAGGAGTCTTGCACAAAGCACTCCTGTTCCCTTCCCCAGATGCCCCAAACTCTCATGGTTTGTCCTTCCCCTGTTCCCTCATTGCTTGTGGCAGCCCTGGTAGCCCTTTGCCCTGCCCTTTGTGCCACCCCCTTTTTAACCCTCTGCACACCACTTTTGTCCCTGATTTCCCTTCAGCAAGCTGGAATAAACCTTTGATGGAATTTATCCTGCAAAAGGCCCTGCTGCCTCTCCTGGCTGAGCTGGCCGTGGTGAGTGTGGTGTGCCTGAATTTCCCACAGGAAATTTTCCCCCCAGGCATTGTCCACAGGAGATGCTTATTGGGGAATAGGTAACTGTGGTATTCACACACTCTTTGAACGTAATTCTCCCTCCCAGGATTTCTCCTGGGGAGCTAAAAGCCTGTGAGAAAGCTCAGACAAAAGAGAAAACAATTTTTATCTCTGTTCTCTGCTCCTGTTGTTTTTGCACACGCGGAATGTGTTAGGGAGATTGTTTACCTGAAGGGATTTGGTAATTAGATTCTGGTGATGGTTGTTTATATTAATTAACCAATCACTCAAAGCTGTGCCTAACTGGCTGGAGAGAGTCACAGGTTTTTCTTTAGTATGAGAATAGAATAGAATAGAATAGAATAGAATAGAATAGAATAGAATAATCTCTTTTGTATAGTTATAATATAGCATTAATGTAATATAACATAATTTTAATAAAGCAATTTTTAAACCTTCTGAATCATGGAGTCAGAGCACATTATTCTCTTTTACATAGTTATAACATAGTAGTAATGTAATATAGTATAGTTTTAATAAAGCAATTGTTCAGCCCTCTGAATCATGGAGTTAGAGCACATTATTCTCTTTCATATATTAATGTAATATAGTATCTATTAATATTACTAATTAATATGCTAATTAATTAGCATATTAATGTAATATAGTATAGTTTTAATAAACTATATATAGTTCACCTTTTATAAACTATATATAGTTTAATAAACTATATATAATTCACCTTTCTAAATCACAGAGTCAGAGCACATTATTCTCTTTAGCATAGTTATAATATAAATGTAATATAGTATAGTTTTAATAAAGCAATTGTTCACCCTTCTGAATCACGGAGTCAGAGCACATTATTCTCTTTAGCATAGTTATGATTTAGTATTAATAGTTATAATATAGTATTAATAGTATAATATGAAACTTTTGTGATAAGGAGACAGCAATATGGAACTTTTGCAATAAAATGACAACACAAGTGTCTTTGGTTTCCTGCCAGGATTCCCCAGCCTGGGGCTGGAGCCACCCCGAGCGACGTCCTGGCTTCCGACAGGCATCCCCCACCTGAACCCCACATCACCCCCCAGCCCTGGCAGCCTACCTAGGATGGCATCCCTGAGCTCCTTGGTGATGATGGGCAGGTCATCCACGTCCACGAAGTGCAGGTGTTTGTCCGAGGGCTGGCTGGCGGCCGCCGAGAGCTCCAGGAAGTTCCCGCGGCCGGTGCTGACGATGAACACGGTGACGCCCCTGTCCTTCAGCAGCTGCATGGGCTCCGAGATGTCATCCGTGGAGAAGCCGTCTGTCACCCACACCAGCACCTTGGGCACGTCCGGGCGGGCCCCGGCCTCGCCGCTGAAGAGCTTTTCCTTGGCGTAGGACAGCGCTTTGCCCGTGTTGGTGTCGCCCATCAGCTGCCGCGTGTCCCCGATGGCTTTCCGCAGGGAGCCGCTGGTCAGGTGCTGGTCAAAGGGGAACTCCATGGTGGGAGTGGTGCTGATGTGGATGATGCTGGTCTGCACGTCCCTGGGGCCAAAGGTGAGAGGGTGCAAAAGGTCCCACATGAATTCCTTGACTTTGGAGAACTCGTAGTGGGAGACGCTGGCGGAGCTGTCCAGCAGGAAGAGGAGGTCGCCCTCTGTGTTGGAGGCGGATGGCTGGGGACCTGGCAGGGCAGAGACAAGGAGCAGCATCAGTGGAGTGCTGTGAACCCAAAACCTGCACAGGCACCCGTGGGAAGGACATTTCATGCTGTTCTTGTGAGCCAGCGAAGGCTTCCTGGAGATATCTTCCTGGAGTCACCATCCCTGGATGTGTTTAAAAAAAAAACTGGATGTGGCACTTGGTGCCGTGATCTAATTGAGGTGTTAGAACATGGGTTGGACTCGATGATCTTAAAGGTCTCTACCAACCTAGGAATTCTGTGATTCTGTGGAAGGAAAGCCCCGTATCTTTCTCAAGGAACACATCAAGGCTATCACTATGGCAACATGATAGAAGAGGGAAATTTAAAAGATACAGAGGTTAGCTGGCTCACAAAATGACTCCCTGGTCACCTATTAGGAACTTTTTGTTTCTTTCTTATTACCAATGGGCAATGTATGTTTCTGTTAGGTAAATGTAAATATCTTGAAAAAACTATAAAAGCAGCATGTTGCTGTAATAAATCTCTCTCCCATGCACCCTTCTGATGGAGTCTGGCTGCTTTGTGCCCTGTCGCGCTCTGCAGCCACAGGCACCTTGCTGCCAGACCCCAGGGATCAGGGAGAGGTGAGGGATCTCCTGGAGCAACAGGAGAGATCAGGAATGGAGAGAGTCAAAGTTACCTGGGAGCGACTGTTGGTGAGGGCATGGAGTGACAGGGTGAGGGGGATGGCTTCAGACTGACAGGGTGGTGGCTTAGGTGGGATATTGGGAGAAATTCCCAATGAGAAATTCCCCAAATGAGGGTGGTGGCTTAGGTGGGGTATTGGGAGAAATTCCCAATGAGGAATTCCCCAAATGAGGGTGGTGGCTCAGGTGGGGTATTGGGAGAAATTCCCAATGAGAAATTCCCCAAATGAGGGTGGTGGCTTAGGTGGGATATTGGGAGAAATTCCCAATGAGGAATTCCCCAAATGAGGGTGGTGGCTTAGGTGGGATATTGGGAGAAATTCCCGTGGAGAAATTCCCCAAATGAGGGTGGTGGCTTAGGTGGGATATTGGGAGAAATTCCCAATGAGGAATTCCCCAAATGAGGATGGTGGCTTAGCTGGGGTATTGGGAGAAGTTCCCAATGAGAAATTCTGGAGGTGTCCCTGCCCATGGCAGGGGTGGGATGGGATGGGATTTAAGGTCCCTCCAGCCCCAATCATTCCCTGATTCTGTGCCCTGCACCCCAGCTGGATCCTGGCCAGTTCTGCGTGACCCAGCACAGCTCACCCCGAGCCACAGACACTCCCCTGCAGCACCCTGGAGCTCAGAGCCGGGCAGGAAACAAAAGTGGAGCCCAGGAATCACCACACCACCCAGCAGAGCTGGACTGTGACCCCACAGCTCCCTGCCACCCCATCCCAGAGCTCCCAGTGGCATTCCAGCAGGGCTCTGGGTGTTGCTGCTGGCTGCACAAGGGCAAAGCCCAGCCCTGAGCTCTCCCCTCTGCTGGAAGGAGCACAAGGCACTGGTTTGGCTGGCAGGATACAGGGAGAGGTCTTGGCAGCACGGGGCTGTCCCTCCCCTCTGCTCTGAGAAGTGTCCCTCAATCCCCAAGTGTTGCAAGGAGCAGCTGGAAAAGCGTCTGGCCCTGGCAGCAATGGGATCAGCGGCCAAAGGACGTTCCTGCAGCAGTAAACAGCGGGGTCATGTGCACAGGCACTGGGAGGGGAGCTGGGAATTCACCCCAGGGAGCAGAAATCCCATTGCTGCCAGAGCTACCTGCATGGGGAACAGCTGGGTGAGCACCGGTGTGAGACCCCAAAAGGGCAAAGAGGAGTCATAGCTGTGTCCTTTTGGGTTAAACCCCAAAAGAGCAAAGCTTTGAGGAGTCACAGCCGTGTCCTTTTGTGTGAAACCCCAAAAGAGCAAAGCTTTGAGGAGTCACAGCCGTGTCCTTTTGGGTTAAACCCCAAAAGAACAAAGCTTTGAGGAGTCACAGCCGTGTCCTTTTGGGTGAAACCCCAAAAGAACAAAGCTTTGAGGAGTCACAGCCATGTCCTTTTGGGTGAAACCCCAAAAGAACAAAGCTTTGAGGAGTCACAGCCACATCCTTTTGTGTGAAACCCCAAAAGAATAAAGGTCTGGGGGCTCACAGCTGTGTCCTTTTGGGAGTGACCCCAAAAGAACAAAGGTTTGGGGATTCACTGCCATGTCCTTTGGGTTAAACCCCAAAATACGAAGGTTTGGGGAGTCACAGCTGTGTCCTTTTGGTTGAGACCCCAAAAAACCGTGTCCTTTTGGGTGAAACCCCAAAAAACAAAAGGTTTGAGGAGTCACAGCCATGTCCTTTTGTCTGTCCCCTGAAGCTCTGGGGCACCAAGGGAGTGGGGCATCACATTCACATCCTTTAAATGCTGGTTTTCCCCATTACTCATTGCTGTTAATTAGAGAGCCCCAGCCTGACCCCACAGGGCTCTGCCTTGGTTAACCACAACTGGTTAACAAAACCAGCAGCTGAAGGGCAGGGGGGGGGGGGGGGGGGGGGGGGGGTGTTTTGGAGCTAAAACATCCAAATGAGAAAAGTCATGGGCTTCTCTTAGGGAGCAGGGCACGGCTTGGCGGGTCGGGGGCGGGGGGTGTTTTGGAGCTAAAGAAACCCTCTGTGGGTCAAGCAGAAAGCTTCATTCAGCCCCCATCCCCTCTGTGACACTCATGAAATGGAAACAAATTCCTCCTGTTCAGCAGAAAGAATCCATTTAAAAAAAAAAAAAAAAAAAAATCGAGAGAAAGGCTCTGCCCCCATCAGCAGCGTGGCAAGGCTCACAAAGCAACCAGACACTGAAATCACCCTCCCCTGCAGGTCCAGGCTTCCAATTCCCTCATCCTTCCTCCTGCTCCCTGTCCTGCATCCAGCACAAACACCCATCCGTGCCAGAGCTGGGGCTGCAGAGGTTTGTTACCAGCAGATCCCTGCTCACGCAAGCAGCTGCTGCTCTCAGGCACTTCAGACGGCGTGGCCGGGCGCCAGATGAGGATTTCTCACTTTTCAGGGGGGGTTTGGAGGGAAAGGGGCACCCAGGAGCGATTCCCTGACTCCTGAAGTGTTGGGGCAGCTGCAGATGTGCTCTGCGGGAGCCTGGGCTGTGACAGGGACACCAGCATGGTCCTGGGTGGATGCCCCGGGCTCAGAAGTGTTTTGAAGGGCTGGATATGGGAAGCAAAACGTCACCATGGAAACACAACGCTGCCTGCTGGCTTTTCCAGGAGGAAAGCAGCTGGCCAGGCTTCCCGGGATGCTGACAGGAGACATCCGCTGGCCGAGCTCTCAGCTGGGAGCTGAGCACGCTGATCTACACAGCCCCGGGGCTCCTGGGGCTCACTCACAGCCAGGAAGGATCATCTCCTGTCTGGGTTAACTGGCTTTGACATCCCACCGTTGTCTTCTCTCACCGCTTGTGTCGGAAGCCTGGGTGCTCAGGGTTTTAAATTTTCTGTGCTGAAAGGTACTGACCCAAAAGAGAGCACTGCACTGACCTGGGGCTCCAAAATGGAATGACAGAATTGGGATTGCGGGCGTGGAGTTGGTCAGAAGTGTGTAATGTAACGGGTGGAAAACGTAGAGTTTGGGGATTTAGAATATAGAAATAAATGTGAAGGAAGATGGAGGGTTTAGGGTGGAGGCTGGTTGTTCTTCTGTACCTTCTTCTCCATGGGTAAAGTGTTCCTGTCCCTGTGCCCGTGGCACAGCGCCACAGCCCTCAGCCCAAACCCAGCTCAATCCCTAACACAGCTCAATCCCTAACACAGCTCAGCCCAAACACAGCTCAGCCCAAACCCAGCTCAGCCCAAACCCAGCTCAGCCCAAACCCAGCTCAATCCCTAACACAGCTCAATCCCAAACACAGCTCAGCCCAAACACAGCTCAGCCCAAACCAGCTCAGCCCAAACCCAGCTCAATCCCTAACACAGCTCAGCCCAAACCCAGCTCAGCCCCAAACCCAGCTCAGCCCCAAACCCAGCTCAGCCCAAACCCAGCTCAGCCCCAAACCCTGCTCAGCCCCAAACCCAGCTCAGCCCCAAACCCAGCTCATCCTAAACCCAGCTCAATCCCTAACACAGCTCAGCCCAAACCCAGCTGATCCTAAACCAGCTCAGCCCAAACCCAGCTCAGCCCAAACCCAGCTCATCCTAACCCAGCTGATCCTAAACCCAGCTCATCCTAACCCAGATCAGCCCCAAACCCAGCTCAGCCCCAAACCCAGGCCCTGCCTTTGGAGCAGGGCACAGCCTTCTGGAATGCCAAGGCTGGCTTTGTCACTGCCCCTGAAGGCCTGAGCATTGTTCAGAGCCCGGGCTGGGAAATGCCACGGGTTGGGAAAATGCCACGGGCTCAGGGTGGCAGGAGGGCAGGACAATGGGAATTCCTGCTGCCTGGGGGGACTTGGAGTGCTGGGACAGTGCCAGGAGCTGCACCATTCCTGACCCGGCTGGGACACTGAGAGACAAAATCCAGCCTGGGACATTGAGGGAGAGAAGCCACCCAGGGACACTGAGGGAAAAATCCAGCCTGGGATATTGAGAGACAAAATCCAGCCTGGGACATTGAGGGAGAGAAGCCACCGAGGGACACTGAGGGACAAAATCCAGCCTGGCACACTGTGGGACAGAGCCCAGTGGGACACTGAAAGGGGTCTGAACCCAGTGGGACACGGAGGGACAGAGGCAGCTCCCCGAGAGGGCTCTGAGCCCCAGCCCAGCCTCGCTGTCCCCAGCAGCCCTGGACGAGGGCTCCAGGCCAGGCAGACTGGAGACAGCAGCTCCCAGGTGCCCGGGAAACCCAACAGAACCGTCCCTGCAGGCACAGAACCCAACAGAACCATCCCTGCAGGCACAGAACTGAACAGAACCATCCTTGGAGCCACAAAACCCAACAGAACCGTCCCTGCAGGCACAGAACCATCCCTGCAGGCACAGAACCCAACAGAACCATCCCTGCAGGCGCAGAACCAAACAAACAGAACCATCCCTGCAGGCACAGACCGACTGCAGCAGCTCAGCCACCACTGAGGGCTGAGTCCTGCCCAGGAATCCATCATCCATCCATCCACGGATCCCTCCGTCCATGGGTCCCTCCGTCCATGGGTCCCTCCGTCCATCCCTGTCCTTCTGTCCATGGATCCCTCCATCCCTGTCCCTCTGTCCATGGGTCCCTCCGTCCATCCCTGTCCTTCTGTCCATGGATCCCTCCATCCCTGTCCCTCTGTCCATGGGTCCCTCCGTCCATCCCTGTCCTTCTGTCCATGGATCCCTCCATCCCTGTCCCTCTGTCCATGGATCCCCCCGTCCATCCCCGTCGCTCCCTGTCCCCGCTCGGCAGCACAGCCCCGCTGTCATTCCCCATCCCGCAGGAAGCGTTTTCCAGCCCAAGCGATTGAATTACAGCGTTCATCACCGCCTCGGCTCCTCTCCGCGCCCGCCGTGAGCAGCGAGGATTTCCCGCAGGATTTCTCCTAAATCTGCTCATTTCTGGGACAATTTCCTCTCCCGCACCGGGAGCAAACAAACAAACCAAAACAAAAAATTACTTTCTAAGCAGCAACTACAGGCAGGTTGGGTTTGTTTCTTGTACACGAGCGCTCCTAAACGCCCTAAAGCAGCACGGTAGGCTCAGCTTTTATTCTGAAAAAGGTTTGTTTTTTTTTTTTTTGTTTTGAGGAGAACAGGAGGAAAAGCAGCGCAGGAACGCTTCTCCTCTCCGGGCACTCACCTGGCTCAGGTGTGTCCTGCCCCGCAGCGAACCGCAGCCACAGAAAAAGTGGAAATACCGCCTTGGCCAACATAGCCGAGCCTGCTGCTGGCCAAACCGGCCTAAATCCGAGCAAAAAGCCGAGCTGGGTCACGGTCCGGCTCCCCGAGCCATGCCGGCTGAGCCGCGAGCTCTGGCTCCTGCGGGGAATTTTCCTTCCTGCCCCCGCTCCTTTTAAAGCCGTAAATCCATCCTGACAGCAGGGCAGCTCCTTCTGCTGGCCCCGGGAGCGGGCTTCAGTCCGGGAGAAAAACGTGGAGATAATAAAAGTGTAGATAGAAAACTTTACAGAGCAAAACTTTACAGAATAGAACTTCACATAATAAAACTTGACAGAATAAAACTTTGGCCCTGCGAGCCGGTAACTACAGGAAAAAAAAAAAAATTAAAGAGAGGAAAGAAAAGCTGCGAGAAATCCAAAGTTCTGGTGAGGAATGAGCTGGAAGAAGGGAAAAGGCGTTTCTAAAGGAAAGGAGGAGTGGGGAAGGCTGGGGAGCTGCCCTGCCCTGGGAATGTTGGCTAATCCTCTGGGAGGAGCATCGCTCCGCTCGGGCCGCCCGGGCACCAGGGCGCAGGAGGAGGGGGAGGGCAGGGGGTGATGGGGAGGGTTTGGGGGGGTTTTGGTGATAAGGAATGTTGGGTTTTTAAGGGAGTGTTATGTTGGGGTTGAGGTTGTAGGGGGAAAAAATTCCAAGATGAATTGGTAAAAATCGGAAGTTGATTGGTGATTGGTAAAAATTCAAAATGCATTGGTAATTGGTAAAAATTCAAAATTCATTGGTAAAATTCAAAGTTAATTGGTAAAAATTCAAAATGCATTGGTAATTGATAAAAATTCAATTCAAAGTTCATTGGTAATTGGTAAAAATTCAAAATTGATTGGTAAAAATTCAAAATTCATTGGTAATTGGTACAAAATTCAAAATTAATTGGTAAAAATTCAAAATTAATTGGTAAAAATTCAAAATTAATTGGTAAAAATTCAAAATTAATTGGTAAAAATTCAAAATTAATTGGTAAAAATTCAAAATTAATTGGTAAAAATTCAAAATTAATTGGTAAAAATTCAAAATTAATTGGTAAAAATTCAAAATTAATTGGTAAAAATTCAAAATTAATTGGTAAAAATTCAAAATTAATTGGTAAAAATTCAAAATTAATTAGTAATTGGTAAAAATTCAAAATTCATTGATAATTGGTAAATATTCAAAATTAATTGGTAAAAATTCAAAATTAATTAGTAATTGGTAAAAAATCAAAATTCATTGGTAAAAATTCAAAATGAATTGGTAATTGGTAAAAATCCAAACTTAATTGGTAACTAGAATTGTGTGTGGTTGATTAGAAGTGTATAATATCACAGAGTAGAAAGCTTAAAGTTTAACCTTAAAGTGCTTTACAGCAACAAAACAGTTAACCATTATTAATGAAATACTACGAAACTCACTACTATAATATAAATAAAAAATAAATAAGAAATAATTAGAAGAAGTACTATAAATAAGAAAAATAAAGATAAATAAGAAAAAGTAAACAAGAAATCATTATAAGAAAGGTAAAAATTCAAAATTAATTAGTAATTGGTAAAAATTCAAAATTAATTGGTAAAAATTTAAAATTTATTGGTAATTGGTAAAAATCCAAACTTAATTGGTAACTAGAATTGTGTGTGGTTGATTAGAAGTGTATAATATCACAGAGTAGAAAGCTTAAAGTTTAACCTTAAAGTGCTTTACAGCAACAAAACAGTTAACCATTATTAATGAAATACTACGAAACTCACTACTATAATATAAATAAAAAATAAATAAAAAATAAATAAGAAATAATTAGAAGAAGTACTATAAATAAGAAAAATAAAGATAAATAAGAAAAAGTAAATAAGAAATCATTATAAGAAATAATATAAATAAGAAAAAATAAAGATAAATAAGAAAAAGTAAATAAGAAATAATTATATGAAATAATATAAATAAGAAAAAATAAAACCATCTAAACCTAAACACAAAATTCCATCTCGAACCTTCAATCCCAACCTCAACAAAAATAAAAAATAAAAAAAATTCCACCCAGTGAAGAAGAAATCCATCAATCCTCATCTCCCTGACGTGGGGAGGGAGCAGGCTGAAAAGCAGCAAAAAAAGGGATTTTTTTGGAAGCTTTTGTGATTACAGGCACTGGTGAGCAATATTTCTCCCAATTTTCTTTCCTCTCCCCTGGGAACTGTAAAAAAAATAAACTCACCAGGAGTTCGGGCTGCTCAGAGAGGAAAAAATCTGTGTCCAAACCCATCGAGCATTAAATTAAAATCGAGCTTTAAATTAAAAACCCATGGATTCAGGGAGCTGAGGACACTTGTTTGTGCTCCCCTCCCAGTCTGCACCCCAGGGTGTTATGATTTCATCATTAAAATGATAATTTATTTAAATTTTTACAAACTGAGGTGCAGCCCCTCTTTCCAAAGGCTGTGTGGAAAACTTGAGAGGGAGGAGAGGCTGAATCAGATCCCCAAATTCCTAAAACCTGACCCAGACATCCACCACATCCCATCATATTCCATCAAATCCCATAATAATAAATAAAAATAAATAAAATTTAAATATAATAACAATAATATCTCATCTCCAGAGCCCCTTGCTGGATAAATGCAGATTATTCCCTTCCATCCCTCACTTCCCAAGGAACAGCTGAGGGCACTTTTGTGTTCCTTTCCCAGTCTGGGGCCCATCTGCATTATAAATATAAATATAAATATAAATATAAATATAAATATAAATATAAATATAAATATCATCCCATCTCCTCCTGCCCCATCTCCAGAGCCCCTTGCTGGATAAATGCATTTTTTTTCCTTCCATTACTCACTTCCCAAGGAAGTGTTGCTCAGCCCTCAATAATTCCCTGGATTTTTGGCCCGTTTCTCCCTGAGGATGCTGTTCACACCCTGCAGGCAGTTTTGGTCTCCCTCAGTCCTGCTGGAATAGGTGCAAGCAGGAAAAAGCAGCCTGGAAAATCATCAGATCTTACAGGGCTTTGGGTTTATTTTTAAACTTTACAGGAATTGGCAAATCCTGTTTCCATTCAGGCTGGTGCTTTCCTGGATTCATCCCGAATCTGGAGCCAGGGAGTCACTCCAGCTCTGCTCCTGCAGAAATCCCAGAAATCCCACCAAAAATCCATCCAGAACACCAGAAATCCCAGAAAAAATCCCAGCAGAAATCCCAGAAAAAAATCCAACCAGAACACCAAAAATCCCAGAAAAAATCCCAGCAGAAATCTCACCAAAAATCCATCCAGAACACCAGAAATCCCACCAAAAATCCCAGCAGAAATCCCACCAAAAATCCCAGTAGAACACCAAAAATCCCAGAAAAAATCCCAGCAGAAATCCCAGAAAAAATCCCAGCAGAAATCCCAACATCCCCCAGATTTTCCCCCAAAACCACCAGGAACAGCTTGGGACAGATGAGTAATGCCATGATTAACTGACACAATTAAAAGGCAAATATAGAAATCCCACCAAAAATCCCAGCAGAAATCCCACCAAAAATCCCAGTAGAACACCAAAAATCCCAGAAAAAATCCCAGCAGAAATCCCAACATCCCCCAGATTTTCCCCCAAAACCACCAGGAACAGCTTGGGACAGATGAGTAATGCCATGATTAACTGACACAATTAAAAGGCAAATATCATTATGGATGTTTGTAGAAGCTTTATACATTTCTAGTTGTGTTTTATACATTTCTAGTTGTGTTTTGTACATTTCTAGTTGTGTTTTATACATTTCTAATTATGTTTTATAGATTTATAGTTATGTTTTATACATTTATAGTTATGTTTTATATGTTTTAACCCCCTTGGGTTGTTATCAGGGTTTGGGACATTTGGGAGGGTGGGATTGGCACTATGACCTCTAATCAAAATTTAAGGATTTAAACTCCACCACTGGACAGCAAAGGAGCTGATGGACAGAATTTTGGGACAGAATTAAAAGGTTAAAAGGTAAAAAATCCTGGTGGGAAAAATTTTAATATTTTAATAATTCCCCTATTCAGTCTTCTGCTGTATTTTTTATAAGGTTTTAATAAACCTTTCTAAATTTTTTTCGGAAGTGAGCAGCATTTCTCACAAGCTCGCCCACTCTGAAGGTGATTTTTGCTGATTAATTTTTGCTGATTAATTTTTGCTGATTAATTTCTGCTGATTAATTTTTGCTGATTAATTCCTGCTGATTAATTTTTGCTAATTAATTCCTGCTCAGCTGCAGGCCAGAGGGCTCCAACTTCAGCTCCCTGAGCCCAGGAATGCCAGGCTGGGCTCAAGCCCTGACTTTGTCCCTTCTCAGTTACCAGCAGAGGCCTGGAGGGCTCAGCCTGGAGTCATCTCTTATTTTTGTTTGACTTGGAAGACAAACTACAAAAATAGATGTGTTTACTCCCAGCATCCAGCAGTTTTATGTTTCTCAGAGGATGAGCAGTGCTGGGAATGACTCCTCACTGAGGTGACCTCGAGCTTGTGGATGATTCCTTTTATGCCAAAGCTCCCCAAAAGACAGCCCAGCACAAGGATAAGGTTATTTGTGGGGTGAGGAGCAGCAGCCTGAGCTCTGAGCCCTGAATTTTGGGTTCTTCCAGCACAGAGATTTTATTTTTTTCGTTGTTCTTGTCTGGAATTGAAGGAATTCCACAGCTGCAGCAGGCCCAGAAACACTGACCCCAAAAAATCAGGCAGGACGCAGCTCAGAAACATTGATCCCAAAAAAACCTTTTTTTTTTTTTTGTTGTTCTTGTTTGGAATTGAAGAAATTCCACAGCTGGAGCAGGCCCAGAAAGACTGACCCCAAAAAATCAGGCAGGATGCAGTTCAGAAACATTGATCCCAAAAAAACCCCCCAAAACAGGCAGGAAACACCTGAGAAACATTGACCCCAAAAAAAGAGGGAGGAAACACCTGAGAAACACTGACCCTATAAAAAAAACCCACAAAACAGGTGGGAAACAGCCTCAGAAACATTGATCCCAAAAAAAACCAGGCAGGACACACCTGAGAAACACTGACCCCAAAAAAAGAGGAGGAAGCAAATTCAGAAACACTGACCCCATAAAAAAAAAATCAGGCAGGAAGCAGGTCCAGGAACACTGACCCCAAAAAACCAGGCAAGACACAGGCTCAGAAACATTGATCCCAAAAAAACCCAAAAAAACAGGCAGGACACACCTGAGAAATATTGACCCCATAAAAAAACAAGGCAGGAAACATGTCCAGGAGCACTGACCCCAAAAACCAGGCAGAACACAGGCCCAAAAACACTGACCTCATAAAAAAAACAGGCAGGGAACAGATCCAGAAACACTGACCCCAAAAAGCAGACAGGAAACAGGCTCAGAAACACTGATCCCAAAAAAAAAAAAAAATAAAAA